TTTGCGCCTCCGAATTTTTTCAAGGGAAGCAATTGTACTCTATGTCTTTGTTGGTATGCTACTTATGTTGATATGTGCACTGGTAATCGAGAGCGCAGTATTTTTTTTTCTTATCGAAATTAGTATTACAGCATCTATTTGTAACTATTTCAATTTGTGAGAAATGTCATAATACTTATTTATTACGTCATTCATGTTGCCTATTTTCTTATATTTTTTTTTTCTTCGTCATATCATAAAAATAAGAGTGTTGCTATTTTCATGAAAAGTAAAATGAATTCTTTATCATATGGAAAATGATGTAGAAAAGAACATTTTGATATTTTCTCAATTATATTGATTAGTATTCAAAAGCAAATAAATATTTCATCATGTAAAACTTTTAATTGTTACACTTCACTTGCTTCAAACTTTAAATTATAACGGATGAATCGAAAGTTTTGAGACAAAATATGTTTTATTTTCGATTCCATTGAAAGCGTTTTCAAGAAGTCAAAAACAATGGACTAAAATAATCATCTTGTGCACTTTCCCAGTATAAGGTTAAAAATTTTATCTCAGTTTTTGTTTGAAAGTAATGAGGTAACCTTTGAAAGATCCAACATATGTATATGATTGAGACGATGATTTTTCTAAATAATTAATTTGTAGTGTGTTTCTTCGTGTGTTTAAGAAAGTATAGGAGTATCGAACTGGAGCATTTAATATGGATCAATATTGAAGAAAATTAAGCAAACATATCTTTATTTAATCAAAGTTAGAATACAAAAATTCAAACATATTTTTCTTTTTTGCATTAAATCTTCTAATTTGTAGTTTTGAAGAATTTTGCATTATATTATTCTCTTTTTATAACGATATTTTGTTTACTTCTTTAATCTGTAGATAATTTACTTCAGGATAAAAAGTGTTTGTACATCGTTTTATGATTCGATTTCATATAGACAATTGTCTTACTTGATGTTTGCACGGTAGCATATTGATTTGTTTCATCCGTCTTTTTTTCTTTCTTCGGTCACTACTGAATAGTACCTATTCTCGTTTTGTACGTAACGTTTGCACATTTATCGCTCATCTCTGTGCACAATATTTATGTGATAGTAACAAGACATTCAATGTTAATTTTACCTTATGATATCTATCCTATTTAGTCTCGCGTTCTTTTGAACATTAGTGTCACATATTTTCTATTAAAACTAAGTGATCGAAACGATTTATCTTGCTTGGTTGCTTTTTCTCTCTACTAAATTGACTTGTCTGTGTGTGCATGTATGCAGTAGTCAACAAAACATTGAATTTATATGATGAAAATGATGATTGTGTCTGTTGGATTTTTATATTTGATTAGTTTGTGCAAGTTGTAAAAACACAAAGAAAAAAAGGAATAAAGAACGAAAAAGAGTCAGTCAAACAAAAAGAGAGAATACGAAACGCTTCACAATCTGTTATCATGCTTAACACAACATCTTTGGATTGTTAATCGATTCGATCGATGAACAACAATGAGGTCATGCACTATCATTATCAATTTGTCACTTGTTATCATTTACTTGATAGGTAAAGATTCGAGTAACATATACTATGTGTCTATGTCATATTATGCGCTCTTGATTTTCGACACCTTACATCAAACGATAGAAGACAAAAAAAAGAACTGATTAGTATCTAATGAAAAAGCATTTTTGTGCATTTTATAGAAGGAAAACAAGCATCACAAACGAATAATATCAATTTAATACAGCGATTACAACAGCGTCAATCACTTGGTACTAATTTTGTTAATCCTTACTATCCATTCAATCCTAATTACATGGGTGGCAATATACTCAATAGACAACTTTATCAAAATAATATCAACAATGGTCAACCAAGTTCATGTACATGTACTTGTAGTGGTATGTCCTATGGACCACCCATAGCATGTGTTAATCCACAAACATGTGTAACATATTGTTTACAAAGGTATTCTGAACGATGTACATTTGTAACTACATATGGTTGTTGTGGATCATCTTGTCAATATTTTCAAGTTCACTCACTTCAAACTCGACACTGTGTATGTAACTGTGTTGGTCAACAATTTTTCCACCCAGCTGATACATGTGTATCATCACAAGCATGTTTAGCACAATGTCGTGCTAAATATCCTCAAGTATGTATGACAGGAACAACGCTAGCTTGTTGTGGAGAAGATTGTCAATCATATCCACAAACTGTTGCTGATGCATGTTCTTGTAAATGTCAAGGAAATATTTATTATCCAACACCTAGATGTTCTAGTTCTGAAGGATGTATTAATACTTGTATGACGGTAAGAATATATTATTAGATATGTTTCTCTGTAAACATAAACAACTTTTTTTTTTTGTTTCTTGTTATTTTTAATCTTCCATTTAGACTTATGGTGAATGTACACCTGATCAAACTCAAGGTTGTTGTGGAGCATCATGCTCATCATATGTTCCAACATGTACATGTAATTGTGGTCAAAATTTTACAACAACAACTTCAATTCCTTGTCAAAATGGTCAAACATGTCTAGAAACATGTATTAATTCATATAGTGCATGTACACAAGATAATACTCAAGCATGTTGTGGTGTTGATTGTCTTAATTCATTTCAAACATGTTCTTGCCTATGTGGTACTAATCAATATATACCATTACGAATTTCATGTGGCTCACCACAACAATGTGTACCAGCATGTTTACAATTAGTTCTACAATGTAATATTGTAACTACCCAAGGTTGTTGTGATAGTAATTGTTTAAGTTATATTCCAACATGTCGATGTCAATGTGGTTTAGGTATTTATTATACAACATCAACTTGTATTAGTGCTGAACATTGTACAAATACTTGTATTAGTGAATTTGGCTATGTTTGTACACCAATAAATACGCTAGGTTGTTGTAATGGAACACTTTGCACCCGTCAAAATCGTTTTTTAGGTGTTAGTAAAGCTTCAACATATCAATTATCATATGTTGCTATTTTATCGTCAACAAGTTGTTTTTTACAAATTCATCGAAATTAATTTTTTTTAATATGTATAGCTTCATTTTTATACAACATTTTGGTGTCCATTAGTAATGTAAAAGATATTCATTTGAATTTTTCACTCATTGCAAATCTTGATGAAAACTGATGTGTCGTTTGAAAATTTCGATTTACTCATGCCAAACGGTAAAGTTCAACAAATAAAAAATTCTCTTAATCGAAATGAGGATTAGTCGTTATTGTATAATATGTTCTTAAAACGAAGCAAAGTCGCAGATTTTTCAGTTATTAATATATAGTAGGATACGAAAATATTTCTGTTTGACGTACGAATTTCGGCGGAATCTGATGCCTCAGTTTGTTGAACGATTGCCTTAGCACTATTTCCAAACAATAGAAGGTAGTTCTATGCATCTAGCAAAACTAACACGTCATTCTTAAAAGTATTGTTAAGTTTCATAAAAATTACACATTATTCAAATACTAACTGTCTATCAATGAATCTATCTACTATCTTATACTACTGACGTAATGATTATTGTAACGCTATCAGAAACTGTCTGTGTGAAGCGAACCTCTGCTCATAATATCAAATATATAATTTCCAAGATCCAAGAGCGAATCACTGTTGTGTATCAGGGCTAGCAAAGCAACTCTTGAATTGCATCCGCATACAACGATTATCTGATCATTTAATGACACGAACTTCAAGTTAGTTTAAAAGTTGTGACTAGTGGTCGAGCAAGTTATGTATAGAGAAAGACTCTCAATTTTCGATGAATTGAAAAGATTTCTGAATAAAAAATAGTATAAAATTAACATTTAAACTCTAAGTTTTTTGACGGCTAGCAAGAAAGCCAGATTTATTGCTTGTATTGCATCGAACCAAGAGAGAGAGAGAGAATCTTTTATTAATAGCTGTGATTGTAGACTATATTGCATGTGTAATCTATCGACTAAAAAATGTTCAATATTCATCGATGTTTCAATAAAAGAGATTTTTAAAAATCAAATGGTAATTTTTTTTCTTTCACTCTACTGTATAAGCCAAGAAGAAAGAAAGCAACAATACTTTGTTTTATTTCATATATAAAACTACCATTTTCTTTCAGAGTTTTTTTATTACTTTTTTTTCTTCGGTGTTTCATTCGTAATAAAAATTAACAAAAAAGAAATCAAAATTTTATAACTCATGTAATAATCTGATATGCAAAAGTAATTGCCGAAACCTCAACCCATGGTTTTTCGCTCAGAAATATCATAGAGGGTTAAGCTTTTTTCATGTTAAAAGAACAAGACTTTCAAAAAAATAAGAAAAAAACAATTTTTGCGATCAACTTTGAATGAGACAAAAGTTCTTAAAACATCTGTTTTCTCTAAAAGTATATCTCTCACATCAAGCTTATTTGTTTCTCGACAACAGATTACGTTTGAAATAATATAATTATAGAGAATAAAAATGTTTTTATTACTCTTTCAAATGGATTATAATAAATTATGTTTTAATCTACTTTACAAGTTTTTCATTGACTTCAAAAAAAAAGTCATCTGACTGAAGTAATAATTTCAAGATACTGAACGAATTTTCTCCTTTTTCTAAAACATATTTTCTGAAACAGCATGCAATTTTCTATCGATTCAAATTTGTTTTTATTATTACTAACACATTTAAGCTATGAAAAACGAGTTTTTCTCAATGTTCTATCTGTTTTATACAAAGTGATACTTTCTATCAAACAAAAATGTATAATACAATTTGTTTACTGTTAAAGAAATGTTGAAAAACTTTCGCATGTATGAAAATCGATTAAGGTTTGTAAGAACTACTTTCTCATCTATTGGGTTTTCAACCAAAAAGTTTTTTTCTTCAGACTCTAGAAAAAAACATAAGGGAAATAGTATGTCGAAAGAGCTCTTTTAACAGTGTTTCGTACCGAAGGCATTTTTCACTCAAAACTAAGGGTGACTGGAATTTTGCAAATAAGAGTTTTCCCAATAGAGTATTAGCCAATGGCAAAAGTCTAGATGATGTGTTACTCAAAGTAGGGTGAATTTTTGCAAGTTACCATAAAACAATATTCATATAGGATACATGTAAGAACTGAAATTAATATTGTGAGAAAAATTATGTCATAACTTACACTCATCAATGCAGTCGATAGGAACTTTTTAAACTCATATCTAATTGACAGTCAGATTGATGAAATGCCGGAGTTTCAAATTGAATTTCGGAGACTTGTTTCTCATGGCTTTTAAATGTCAGACTGTGCTCTCTCAATAGAAAAAGAATGAACTTTCTACAACGTTGCTAAACAGTAAACCATGAGTCAAGATTTCGACAATTATTGCTGCAACGTAGGTCATGTATTACCATCAATAGCATATCGAGCATAAATGACACTGCATAACGAATGTAGTCTAGGTGTTAGTAAAACTTTAGACTTCTCATTGGACTTTATTAGATAAGATAGCATTGAAAGCTTTACATATCTTACCTGCAAATAAACTTAAGAACAAGTAGAACATGTCTGTCACATGGTAGTTTACAATATCTTTCTCGTCTTGGAGGTATGGCTTATTCCATTGACATAACACACGGCCTTCCTGAAACTGTTGCATTTAAAAAAATACATCAACAACATTTTTTTTTCTCTTCGTTCGAATATGTCTTGATAAATCAATTTCATAGTCTACTGATATCTGTTTTAGTACTTTGAAGATCTGACATTATATTGATTATTAAATAAAATAATTAGAATACAACTTTTATACACGTTAATTTCTGTTTTTAATAAGTACTTTTCGTTCGAAACTTATACTGACTCAAAAGAATGATACATTTTAATATATATGTGCATGCATAGATAACGTAGCAGCTCAACATATAGATAAGTGCCTAAAACAGGTAATTTTGCGTGTTTATTTTATCTTTTCTTATGTTTTTATTTCTACACTTCTAGAAAATTTTAATTTTTCGCGAAGGTCAAACTCCGTATACTTTTTACGTTTCAAAGAAAATTCTAGTTACCATTGATGTATATATATATATATTAGAAATTCTTTTTATTATCACTAAACGTTTGCACTAGCTTTCGATATTTTTTAATCTATTTTATTTCACAGGTCATTTTACTGTCGTTGTTGACCCATTTTCTTTTCACAACACATTATAAAAACAAAGTGCCTTGCCATATTTTTCAGCTATATGCATCGTACTTTTTTGTTATCTCTTTACCTATCATACAATAAATAGAGGCTTTATATGCAAGCATTTTGTTACATACACAGGCATATCTTTTTTTTCGTTATTCTAGATATACAACAGCGAAAGTTTCTACCATGAAACTGATAATTTTCTTGAGTGGTAAGTTAAACTGGTTGTTTTTTTGTTTTGTGTTTTTTAAGGTAGAATTTTATATTTTAAGCGATTTGGTTAATCACTACGAGTACTTGGGCCTATTCAAATGATTGTGCTAAAGGTCCAGAATATTGGTGTCGTGATGTATCAACTGCTGAAGATTGTGGTGCTTTGCTTCATTGTCAACAAACGGTATGGCGTGAGAAAGGAAATGATAAAAAACCAATGACAACAAGTGAAACAGCTCAAATGTTATGCAATGTTATTGTTCAAGCTTCAATTGAACTTGTTACTGATGGTTTTATTGATGTTAATTCAATTAAACAATATCTTCGTAATGATTGTACTAAATTACCAAATGAAAATAATCTTATCCATAAAGTAAGATAAAAAAAAATTTCATTAGTATATAAACGTTATCTTTTAATAGTGTGAAATGGCTGTTGATCTTTATCTATCTGATATTCTTCGTCATATCCAAAGTGGCACCGTAAGTTCTGAAGTTATACTTTTTGTTTCTTTATTTTAGTATTCTATTTTTGTTTTAAAAGGATTTGAAAAGAATTTGTCCAATCATTCAAGGACATGATTCAGAAAGTGTTTTCATTCCAAAACCAAAACCTATTGGTCTTACACCGAATCAAACATGTGTTCTATGCGAATTTATTATGAATATTCTTGCAATATATGCTACAGATAATTCAACAGCTCAAGAACTTGCTCAACTTCTTGAAGAAATTTGTCAAGCTATGCCGGATGTATTGAAAACCGAATGTAAATCATTCCTTGATACATATGGTGTTGATATTATTGCACTTCTTGTTCGAGACTTTAGTCCAAATAAAACATGTGCATTAATTAAACTTTGTCCAAAACCAACAAATGTTGCTTTTTTAATTAAACCAAATGCAAATACATGTGGTCTTTGTGATTATATTTCAACATATTTATCAGCTGGTTATCCAATTGAAAATGTTTGTACATCTTTCTCAACTGATAATAATATTAGACAACAATGTGAAGTTCTTGTTCATTTATATAAACCAAATTATTGTTCACAATTACCTATATGTTATGAGGATGTAGTAATTCAACCAATTGAACAATCAATCGAAACACCAGTCAATAGTCCTCAATGTGCATTATGCAAATATGTCGTCAGTTACATTGATGCTGTTGTTCAAAATAATAAATCGGAAGCTGCTATTGAAGCTGCATTAGAAAAAGTTTGCGACATCTTACCAGGTCCAATTAAAGATAAATGTGTTGATTTTGTTGAAACCTATGGACCACGTCTTGTTCAATTTATTGAAAAATATGTTACACCGGATCAAGTTTGTAATGCTTTGAAATTATGCCATAACGGCACAGACACACTCACTCCTCGTAAATAGATTTTGAAGGTTTTATTTGATTTTTCAGTCTTTTCTTTTTATGTTCAGTTGAACGTGTTCAATTAATGAAATTTGAAAAACTTGCAATCAAGTCCATTCAATGTATATTCTGTAAATTTGTAATTACTACCTTAGATAAGTCTATTGGCACTAATCGAACACCAGCAGCCATTGAAGCAGCATTACAGAAAGTCTGCGACATCTTACCAGCTTCACTCAAACCCAATTGTACAACCTTTGTTCATAAATATGGACCAATTATTGCTTTTCTTTTGGCTAGAAATGCAACACCTGAACAAGTTTGCAATTTTATTAAATTCTGTAACAATGGCACACAAGAAATGACACCTTGTAACTGCAAAACAAAACTATTATTTATTCTTTTATAATGTTTCATCATTTATTATTTGTAGATGATATTCTTCAAATGTTCGAGATTAAAGAATCAACGATTCAATCTGCGCAATGTCCAATATGCAAATATGTCGTCAGCTACATTGATAATATTATTCAAAACAACAAATCAGAAGCTGCCATTGTAGCTGCTTTAGAAAAAGTTTGCACTATTCTACCAGGACCTATTAAAGATAAATGTGATCAATTCGTTGTTACCTACGGACCACTTCTTGTTAAACTTATTGAAACATATGGTACACCAGAAGCAGTTTGTAATGCACTGAAATTATGTCACAATGGAACACAAGAAGTTT